AATGGGGGATTCAGTGATGGTACCACCATTGAATATCAAGGAGTAATGATTAGACTTTTTCTTATTGGAGATGGTCATTGCCTGGTATTTGTATGGCATGAATGTTACTTGCCACTTGTCAGTCCAAGTCTGGATTATACAGGTCTTACTGCATTTGGACATGAATTCCTTAAATATCTGAGTAGTTGTGAAGGCTTCCGAACCTTGTGCAATCATTGACGAACATCCTTATTTCTGACCCTATGATGGAGGGAAGGTCATTGATGAAGCAGCTGAAGATGGTTGGGCCAAGGGCACTACCCTGAGGAACTTCTGTAGAGATGTTCCGGAGATGAGATGACTGGCCTCCAACAACCAGAACTATCTCTCTATGTGTCAGGTATGATTCAACCAGCAGAGAGTTTGCCCCCTGATACCCTTTGATTCCAGTTTTGCTAGGGCTCTTTGATGCCACACTCTGTTGAATGCAGCTTTGCTATCAAGGGCTGTTACTCACCTCACCTCTGGAATTCAGCTCTTTTGTACATGTTCGAACCAAGGCTGTAATGAGGTCAGGAGCTGACTGGCACTCGTGAAATCAAATTGGACGTCACTGAGCAGGTTATTGCTGAACAGGTGCTGCTTGATAGCGCTGTTGACGATACCTGCCATCAGGTTACTGATGATCGATTGTAGACTGATGGGGCGGTAATTTGCTGGGTCGGATTTGTCCTGCTTTTTATGTATAGAACATACCTGGGCAATTCTCCACATTGTCTGGTAGATACCAGTGTTGGAACTGTACTGGAAGTGTTTGGCTAGGGGAGCGGCAAGTTCTGCAGCACAAGTCTTCAGGACTATTGCCGGAATATTGTCAGGTCCTGTTGTATCCAGTGTCTCCAACTGTTTCTTGATATTACGTGGAGTGAATCGAATTGGTTGAAGACTGGTATCTGTAATGCTGGACACCACTGGAGGAGGCCGAGATGGATCATCCAAACAGCACTTCTGGCTGAAGATCACTGCGAATGCATCAGTCTTATCTTTTGTACTGATGTGCTGGGCTCTTCCATCACTAAGGTTGGGGATATTTGTGCAGCCTGCTCCACCAGTGAGTTGTTTAATTGTCCACCATCTTTCAAGCCTGGATGTGGCAGGACTACAGAGCTTAGATATGATCCATTGGCTGTGGGTCACTAAGCTTTGTCTATCACTTGCTGCTTTTGCTACTTGGCGTGCAAGTTGACATTTCATCTACAGGTATGCCTGGTGCTGCTCCAGGCATACCCTTCTGCACTCTCCATTGAACCAGGGTTGAGCCCCTGGCTTGATAGTAATGGTGGAGTGGGGGAAGTGCCAGGCCATGACGTTACAGATTGTGCTGGAGTACAGTTCTACTGTTGTTGATGGCCCACAGTGCTTCATGGATGCCCAGTCTTGATTTGCTAGATCTGTTTGAAGTCTGTCCTATTTAGCACAGTGATAGTGTCACACAACATGATCGAGGTTATTCACAATTTGAAGGCGGGAGTTCATCTCCACAAGGACTGTGCGATGGTCACTCTTACCGATACTATCATGGACAGATGCATCTGAAGCTGGCAGATTGGTAAGGATGGGATCAAATATGTTTTTTCCTCTTGTTGGTTCCTTCACCACCTGTCGCAGACCCAGTCTAGCAGTCACGTCCTTTAGGCCCCGACCAACTCGATCTGTAGTACTGCTACCGAGCCACTCTCACTGGCGGAGACTGAAATCCCCACCCAGAGTATATTTTTCAGCCTTGCCATCCTCAGTGCTTCCTCTAAGTGCTGTTCAACATGGAGGAGTATCAATTCATCAGCTGAGGGAGGACAGTACGTGGTAATCAGCAGGAAGTTTCCTTACCCATGTTTAATCTGAAGCCACAAGATTTCATGATGTCCAGAGTCAGTGTTGAGGACTTCCAACTCCCTCCAACTGTATACTGCTCTGCTGCCTCTGTCCTGCCGGTAGGACAAGACATATCCAGAGATGGTGATGGTGGTGTCTGGGACATTGTCTGTAAGGTATGATTCCACGCATGTGACTATATCAGGGCTTTGATTGACTAGTCTTGAGACAGCTCTCCCAATTTTGGTATTAGCTCCCAAATGTTAGTAAGGAGGACTTTGCAGAGTTGACATGGCTGTTTCTGCCATTATCTTTTCCGGTGTCCAGGTTGACATCAGCTGATCCGCCTGGTTTCATTTTTTTGAGAATTTGTAACAATTGGTACAACTGGATGGCTTACTAGACCATTTCAGAGGACAACTGAGAGTCAACCACATTGCTATGGGTCCGGAGTCACATGTAGTCACACAGATTTCGTTCCCTGAAGGACATTAGTGAACCAGATGGGCTTTTCCCGACAATCGACAATCCGACAGTCAGCAGACTTTTAACTCCAGATTTTTTTATTGAATTCAACTTCCACCATCTGCCATGGTGGAATTGGAGCCCTGGTCCCCTAGAACATTAGCTGAATTTCTGGATTAATAGTTTAGCGACAATTCCACTAGGCCATTGCCTTCCCCCTTAATAAATCCCTGAGACCTTATATTCTACATCCCAGAGTGTTGTCAGAAGTAGCTATGGAGATAGCAGATGCATTAATGATCATCTTCCAAAGTTCTATAGATTTTAGAATGATTCCTGTGAATGGAAGGTAGCAATTATTACTATTCAAGAAGGGCGGGACTACAGAATTGTTAGCTTTACATTAGTAGTAAGGAAACTACTAGCATCTATCATAAAGAATAGGATGAATGGACACTAAAATAAAACAAAAAACTGCACATTCTGGATCTAAAACAAAAACAGAATTTTCTGAAGAAGCTCAGCAGGTCTAGCAGTATCAATGGAGAGAAATCAGAGTTGACATTTCAAGTCCAGTGACCCTTCTTCAGGATAAATGAACACTTGGACAATAGATTGGGAACAGTCAGCATGGATCTGTAAGCGAGAAATTGTGTTTCATGAATCTGTTCATGTTACCAACACAATTGATAAAGGGTAGTCAATGGACATACACTTAGATTTTCAGAAGGATTTTGCCAGAGACCCCATAGGAATCTGGTTATCAAAATTAAACCACAAGGGATAGGAGGTAATATACTGTCATGGATTAGCTAACAGGCAGAAAACAGAGAGTCGGAATAAATAGGTCATTCTCACATTGATAGGCTGTGACTGCAAGAATCAGTGCTTGTGCCCCAGCTATTTACAATATATATCAATGAGCTGGATGTGAGGACTACATGTCATACAGTATTTCCAACTTTCTGGGTGTCATTTGGTATGGCTGATATGTTTCTCAACCCAATTCCGCCTGCCTTTTCCGCATAACCCTTGATCTTTTTCCTAATTCACATTGGTATGAGGAATAGATGTTTGGACCATTTCTTAAATGATAAGAATTTTGGAAGTGTAGTTGTCCAAAGGTGTGGAGGTGCTGCTGTCGGACTGGTGTAGACAAAGTCAGAAGTCACATGACACCAGGTTAGAGTCCAACAAGTTTATTTAAAATCACAAGCTTTTGGACTGCTGCTCTTTCATCAGGAGCGTTGCTCCTTTCCCACTTCACCTGACAATGGAACAGCGCTCTGAAAGCTTGTGATTTTAAATGAACCTGTTGGACTATAACCTGGTGTCATGTGACTTCTGACATTGTCCAAAGGGCCATAGAAATCCTTATCAATAAACCACTGAAGTCAAAGAGATAGAGAAAGGGAACGTTAATGTTGTAAGTGAATTTGAGTGCAGGAGTGGCAAAGACTCTCTTCAGATGTGCAGACCTTGGTTAGATCACACCTGCATATGCAGCTCTGGTCCCTTTTACCTTAGGAAAAATATTATTGCCATTGATGGACTGATTCCATGAAGGTTGGGACTGTTCTACGAAGAAAAATTGTAGAAACTGGGCCTGTATTCTCTAGAGTTTCAACAAATGAGAGGTTATCTCATTTAAACCCACAAAATACTTAAAGGGATAGACAAGGTAGACGTGGGTAGGATGTTTCTAAATGGGAATCCAGAACTGGAGGTCGTAACTTCAAAATAAGGGAGAAGCATTTGGGATGAAAAGTTTTCCTTAACTCAGAGGGTGGTGAGTCTTTGGAATTCTGTACACTATACGGGTGTAGAAACACAGTCATCGAATATGTTTAAACTAAAGATTGAAAGACTTTTCAATACCAATTAAGTAAAACAATATGTGCTTAATGTATAGGTAAAACACTGAAGTGGATGATCAGCTTTGACCATATTGATGGTGCAGCAGGCTTGATGGGCTGAATGGCCTGTGCCTGCTCCTATGTTTCTATGGATACAAGGGCAATCAAGAAAGCTGTCTTGAGGTCTTTCATTTTCAATACTGACAGCAAGTAACTTGAGATTGTAAGAGCTATAACACATCAATACCAATTGAAATGTTTTTCTCAGATATCAGCCATAGGTCAACGGCAGTACATTTGCTCCTGATTAACAATCATAGGGTCAAATCCCACTCCAGAGAGGTCAGCCCATAATCCAGGCTAAAATTCCACTGCAGTACTGGCTTCAGGTTTAGCAAAGATTTATGGAATTAAAATCCTACATTCTGTTTTTCGGACCATTACAGCCGAGTTCCTACTGGGGATGGATTTCCTGTTTGACAAAAATGCTGTTCACTTGGCATGAATTTGTTGGTGTCCTTCAGCAAGACCAGAAGAGGGTAAGAGTGGAAAGTGGAAAAAATGCCTCAGTTGTGCAAGGGAAGCACTCCTATTAATGTTAGGATTAAAACATATTTTGGGGCCACTGAAGGAGCCATTTTATTATTCTGCATTAAAGCCATGACGCTGCTGACTTGGCAATGCAGGGTGTTTAAAATAGAAAGTAAAACTTTCCCACTGTTTTTGTATGTATAATGTTTCCCAGAAAAAGAATTCTGGTTGTTAAAATGAATATCCATTGATACTGCAAGTATTGCTGCAGGGCCATTTAGTACAACAGTCACATACCCTCTTCCTCCTGCCTGGCTTTCTCCTTGGCCTTCAGTGTTGTATATTCCTGGCTAAGGTTGATTAAGTAGATGTGACGTCTATTGCTAATTGCTTTAAGTGCAGCTGTGAGAGTGCAGGCTTCATTGGGACTGTACGCACTTTCCAATCCATCGAATATAACCCCTCGGCAACAGTCGTTCAACTATTACAGAAATTAGTGATAAAGAAGAAGCCAAACAATGAGTTAAACATTTCAATAAAACCCATTTCAGTATTGATACTAGTATCTCCAAAGCAGCAATATGACATTATTGACAGCGAATTACTCGTCCTATTCATAAATTCATAAGTGCCTTTGATTTTTTTCATTAGATATAAAAAGCTCAACTGAAATATTGTTGAGCAAAGGGGGAATCAATTAATTCATGTAATACTGTATATTACTGGTAGTAAATTGACACACTGCACAGGTATTAGGCATGATATTTGAGCTGGGATGTATAAAATCGACAGAAGAAAACCAAAACAAATTAAGTTGTTTGCTTTAAATTAGGAACATGCAAATACAGGGTTGTGGCTGGAATTTTAAATTAGTAAGGGGGATGAAAGTGGCAGAAATAACCCATACCTGAAGATGAGAAAAAGTGAATAAATCTCAGGCAAATATAAAGGATAAGGCTGATATAAACAGTAAATACATGGCCAGGTTGGTGGTGGGGGAAGGGGGCAAAGGAGGGGATGCGCGGTGGTAGAATTTAGTCCATGTAATACTTTTACTTGCATCACACACATTTACATCAACTCACCAGAGGAAGGCAATGTCAATGGTTGCTACATGTACGGTATTCTCCATTGATATCATTGAGGAACACTGCACAGAGGGGGACATCTTGGCCATAGTGATCACAGTATAATGAAATTTAATATAAAGACTGTGAAAGATGCCAATAAAACAAATTACAGGGTGATGGATTTGAAAAAGGGTAATTTTGAGGGAATAAGACTGGAACTAAAAATAATGAAAGAATAAAAATGACCAAGATATAGAACATTGGAATTATTTTGAAAGGTGATCAATACAGTCCAGGCTAAATATTATAAAATGAGGTATCATGAACCAGTATAGAGAAAAGTTAATAAATGCAACTAAAATGCAAGAAAAACATAAATTATGTAGGCAACAATGAAGATGCTGAAAGAAATCAAATCAATATCAGATTAAATTTCAAAGTAAATCTTGGGTTTATTTCTTCCAATGACGGAATTTTACATAGACACTTCTTAAATGCATCATTCAAATGCCTTGGATGCAAACAGACTCACATTGCAGCCCATCCTTTTTCAGCACACAAACAATAGGGCTACATAGGACAGTGTGCTGTTGCACATGACGAACAACGCCATTTCATTCCACATGATTTCATGTGGTCTACTGTTTTCCTTCGATGTCTGTGCTAAAGTTCCGACATGGGTCAAATCCAAGGAATTGTATTTTGCCTTAAGTGTAAAACAATGTCATTTCTGAAGCTCCCCACTAAATCAAATATGCCTGGCTATTAGTGCTTTCAGTCTTTGACGGATTCAAGAGAATTATTTTTCATATTTTCTTCCACAACAATTACATTTCCCAATTCTAGCTCCCTTCAAGCTGATAATCTCGCTACTGCCTGATTATTTGTGACTACCAAGTAGAAAACATGCGATTATAATGCAGACTTGCCATTGCTGTATTTTAGTGTCAGTGTACTGAAACAATAGCTTGGTGATCCATTGTAAACTACTAACATGGCTACTGTACACTGTACCATTGACTTCCATCTATCAAGATACTTTAAGTTTCTTAATGGCAGAAGGTTGGCACAGCTTCAGTGTCTACATTGGCTTTAATTGCTATTCTTGCTCAGAAATACAAGGTAGAATCTAATAGGGGCCCAAGCGCTGTGGGCTGTGGCAAGGTCAGTTGAGAAGTTTGGGAGTGTCTCATTGCATTTTTTTGCACCTGCCAAATGGTGAGGCAAGTTTGTTGCAAGACAGCAGCAAGTTGACAATGAGGAGGATTATCGTTTGTTAAGTTCCTTGTTAACATTCAGTTACATACCTTACTGAACGTGCTGAACAAGCTAGCTGTTGAGAATCCTTCACATGTAAGTAAGAGTCAGAGTGGGACCAAAATGCAGAGGTCGATGGATCAAAACCATCCTCTGCTATTTACATTAACAAAGTGGTGTTTGTTAAGTCAGTAGTAGCAGCTAATAGATAACACCGTGTGGACCTGGAGGAACACAGCAGCCAGGCAGCATCAGAGGATCAGGAAAGGTGATGTTTTGGGTCGGGACCCTTCTTCAGAAAAGGGGGAGGGGTAGGGGGCTCTGAAATAAATAGAGAGGGGGGAATGGGGCTGGGGAAGGTCAGTGGGGTAGTGATAGTGAGTGCAGGTAGGCATTGGTGGGGGTTGGTCAGTGAGGTGGGAGGAGCGGATAGGTGGGAGAGATGGACAGGTGAAGGAGGCAGGGATGAGAGGGAGGGTTGGTCATGGGATGAGGTCGGGGGTGGGGAGATTTTGAATCTAGTGTAGTCCACATTAAGACCATTGGGTTGTAGGCTCCCAAGGCAGAATATGAGGTGCTGCTTCCACCTCACTGACCAACTCCCACCACTGCCCACCTGCACTCACCTATCGCCATCCCACCTATCTTTCATCCCCGTCTCCTTGACCTGGCCGTCTTCTCTCCCACCTATCTGCTACTCCCACCTCACTGACCAACCCACACCATTTCCTACCTACACTCACCTATCACCATCCCACCTATCTTCCTCAGCCCCATCCCTCTTCTCTCTATTTATTTCAGAGCCCCCTACCCCTCCCCCTTTCTGAAGAAGGGTCCCAACTCGAAACGTCAGCTTTCCTGTTCCTCTGATGCTGCCTGGTCTGCTGTGTTCCTGCAGCTCCACACTGTGTTATCTCTGACTCCAGCATCGGCAGTTCTTACTATCTCTGATTGAGTAGTAGCAGCTAGTTTGGAGCAGCACGGTGGCTCAGTGGTTAGCACTGCTGCCTCACAGCGCTAGGGACCCAGGTTCGATTCCACCCTCAGGCGACTGTCTGTGTGGAGTTTGCACATTTTCCCCGTGTCTGTGTGGGTTTCCTCCGACAGTCCAAAGATGTGCAGGCTAGGTGGTTTGGCCTTACTAAATTGCCCGTAGAGTTCAGGGATGTGTAGATTAGGTGGGTTATTGGGGGATGGGTCTGGGTGGGATGTTCTGAGGGTCGGTCTGGACATGTTGGGTGGCAGGGCCTGTTTCCACACCGTAGGGAATCTTTGAAGAGTGTGTACCCGGCAACTTTGGCTTACCACTTGCTCGAAAAATCATTCATGTTAGTGACCAGACTCCATTATTTCAGACTTACAATAGTGAGAGTGGTGGGAGTTGGATACTGTAGCAGAGATAGAGTGAGAGTGAAGTATAGGAAAGAAGATGGCACTTATGCTCATGGAGTGGTGAAGGTCATTGACATTTTTTTTTTACATCACTGTGTATTCCTCCAGATGACTGAGACTGCATTGACATGGGTGCTAACCTCAGACCAGGCTAGTGTGATCAGGTATCTGGCATGATTGGATTAGTGTGCAAGCATGTCATAGAATTAAGATGCTAAACTCAATTCTACAGCTTAATGACAGACAGCTATCACAACATGGGAGGATTCAATTAAGTTCAAATTCCTTGGCCTACAAGGGCTAAAACAAAATCAGCTCAAGCCATCAGCTAGAGACTCTCCTATTAGAAAATAAGAGAGTTCTGGGAGTTGGATAATAACAGAATTTAGCTTTGCTGTGATGTTGTCCCATGGTCAGAGAAACTAGCAACAGTTCATAACTGAAGATTAGTCACTGAAATTAATCATCAGAGATTATAAAATGTAACTGCACCCTTAAGTATTACTGCATTTGTTACAAGGAGGGAAGGAACTGGATGATCACTTTGTGGCATCCTGTTATATGAAACGTGATACTGCAGATGCAGTAACATTCTTGTATAGCACCATATTGTACCTGCAACCTCTCCGTCAGAAGTTCCACTATCACATCTTCTGGCAATTGACAACTCATTAAGTTTCCCTCTCCAATGATGCTTGTAGTGATGCTCATTGGCTGCTGCATTAGGGGACCAATTACAGAGACCTAGAGATTTCAGAAAACACCTAAAATTACTTGCGATTAGAACAAAATATATTTCCTCATAAATGCTATAATGTTAACACTTAACAAAATCTTACCTTAAACGTTCTGATATACTGACTGTGTAACAGAAATAGAGTAGAAGCTAAAACTGGGAGTTAGAATTGTGGAATTTTTAAATGCACTGGTTTTAGATATGAAGAAGAGTAAGTTTGGAACAATTTAAGATAACGTTATGGCTGAAGCAAAAGAACAATTGCAAAGCTTGATTGGTTAGGCCACAGACTAGATCAGATGTTCAATTTGTCATATGTAAGTTTTGTCAAATGTTTAACTGAATTGAGTTTTTGATAATGTAACAAATGATTCATGAGGTTACTGTGGTTGATATAGCGTATATGGACTTCCAAAAGATGTTTAAGAAAGTGTCACATATTAGACATGCTAGCAAGGGTGAAGCCCATAAAATAAAAGGGAAAGTAGAAGTATATATACAAAAGTGGCTGATTGATAGGAAACAGTGGAGTAATGAATGTTTACTTTGCAGACTGGTGTATAGTGGGTTCTCTAGCAGTTTGTACTTAGATCCCTGCTCTTACTGATGTATTTTAAAGACATTTTATTAGACTTGGGTGTGCAAGTGTACAATTTCAAAATGTGAAGGTGACATGAAACTTGGAAGTATTTGAACAATGAGCACAGTGATAGATTTTAAGAGGATACGGACTGATGGAATGGGTGGACGTATGGCAAATGAGTTTCATCCAGACAAATGTGAAGTGGTATATTGTGGTCGAAAGGATGAGGCGATGCATCAACTTTAGCATTGTGCCCTTTGTTTGAGAGACCTTGGGCACTATGTGCACAAATCATGGAAATCGGCATGGCAACTTGACAAAATTTGATTTGATTTGATTTATTATTGTCACATGTACCAAGATATAGTGACAAGTATCGTTTTATGTGCTAACCAGCCAAATCATACCTTCAGGGTAATAGAACAGAATGCAGAATGTGGTGTTAAAAGAGGCTTTTTAAAAAGGTGCATAGGACACAAAAGCAAGGAAGTTCTTTTGAAAATTTAAAATATTCTGATTTAGCCTCAATTGGGGTTTTGTGTACACATCAAGGCACAGTATTTAGGAAGGATGACTGGGCCTTAGACAGCAGACAAACTTTATCAGCATGTGTCTTTTACCAGAAAGTTGAGAGGAAATTTGATTAAAACATTCAAAATCATGATAGTTTAGACACAGCAGTTAACGAGAAACTATTTCTATTTGTGGAAAGTTTGAGAACCAGACAATGGTGATTGACAAAAGAAGCACTGTCTCATGAGGAAAAACCATTGTAGGCAGCAAATATTTGGGATCTGGACTGCACAGGCTGAAAGGCTGGTAGAGGGAGATTTAATTGAGGCTTTCAAGGGAAAGTGATCAGTGTTTTTGAGGAAGCTCAAAGGAAAGCTTTGCAGGGAAAGGGCAGGATAGCAGACTTGGCTAAATTGCTCTTGCAAAGCTAATATAGACATGATGCCACTTTCTATCCTGTAACCATTCTGTGACTCCGCACTTCATTTTAACAGCCCAATAAAATATTTTTTAACAATTTGGAGAATTGCATTCTTGAGTTTGGACCTTTACATGGCTTAACAAACATTAAACTAGTTATTTTTAGTGATGCCACACAAGCCAGATGGGTCTGTCTGTTCTGAAGAAGGATCACTGGACTCAAAACGTCAACTCTATTTTCTCAGATGCTGCCAGATGTGCTGAGGTTCTTCAGCAATTTCTGTTTTTGTTCCAGATTTCTATCACCTACAATTCTTTAATTTTTTTGAGAGTTTTCTAATCCAACTGATTTCATAATTATGACAATACTGCGCCTTTAAGAGATGTGTTCTGTCCTGTTTCTCTTGAACAGGGACTTTGTCACAGTGGTGCCGAAATGTCTCCCTCACATTGGCAGTTGGTAAACAGCTTTGAGTTCTCCTTCGGTGCTTCTTTTTTAACCAAGATGAAAGAACCATGAGTGGGAGGGGTCAGGCTTATACAGACTCAAAAGGACTTTAGTTTTGCTTTCAGTTAGTTTTTTGCTGGTTGCTGGAACTGAAAGATTGAGTTCTCTGTTGCCAGAGTGAAGTCTTAAACAACAAGGCTTCCTCTTAAAAATCAAAAGGAGTAGATTATTTCTTTTGGTGTTACTTTTTACTGGACTGGAGAGAGACAGCATGTGAGAATAAAAATGGTGTGGCTGAATTGCCTTTGCCAAGGGTGTGCTTACTGGATGCTGCCGACATTGGAGCAGTTGATGATTACTAGTTAAATAATACATCATCTTGTTCAGTATTTCAATAAAATTATGTCAATTCTTCTTTTTGTTGTATTTTAAATGTGTTGTAAGAATAAAGTGTGTTTTGACTAAAGCCTAGTGGTGGAATAATCAAATCATGTCTGGGACACAGCACCTTAACACTTGCCTTTAATCAAAACATAAAAATTAGGGTCTAGGCTATTTCCATAATATACTTTGAGGGGGTCTAGTCTGGTCCATAATAATAATATTTCAAATCGATGAAATGGGAAATGTTTTCCTTTACCTTGGAAGGCTAAGGAAATAGAACAAAGGGATGTGAGAAGTACTTCAGCTGCTGAAATGCTCGGCTGAGTTTTATGACCCTTTGGGGACAGTCTGGGAGGTGGGAAGGCTGGTAAAATGGTGCAGGAAGGCAGCAATCACGATTGTTACCTACTTGCTGCTATTTAATTTTATTAAGTGGTGGGAAAGGTGGTAGATAGCCCACCTGCTTGGAACCCAATAGACACATTTAATTTCTGCTGATATTTTATGAGGTGCTGAAGGGTCAGAGTTAATGTTTTGAGTCCCGTAATGCTTCTTCAGAACAGACTAAACTATCTGGCATGTGTAGTGTTACTAAAAATAACTAGTATTATGTTCCTTAGGCCTCCTAATGGTGAAAACTTAAGAACGCAATTGTCCAAATTGTTAAATTGAGTAGACTGCCAGATAAATCCAGTGGAGTTAAAATGCCCATAAAGGTTAAATGAATATCTTCAAAAATATTGAAAACAAGGATTGATGATGGTCGATATGGATTTGACCAATGCTCTTGTAAAAGTTCACACTTGACTTTAAAAAAGATCCATGGCATCAAGCTGCGTAAAAAAATTTGTTCAGTGGTAGGAAACAAAGTGTAATGTTTGATGGGTTTTACTGACATTAGAAAGCTGCTTGCAGTGGGGTTCTGCAGGACTCAGTAATAGTCCCCAGTTTTTTAGACCTAAATGTAAGGCCATGATCAAGACTTTTTCAGATGACACAAAAATGAATGTGTTTCATTTGATTTTATTGTCATGTGTACCAAAATACAGTGAATAGCTTTGTTACGAGCGGTACAGGCAGATCACAGCAAGCAAAGGATGTACGAATCAAAAAGACTTAGAGGCATACAGGTTACATTGCAGGCTACATTATTTGTGGCTACAGTCCATTCAACAGTCTGATAACAGCCAGAAAGAAGCTGTTCCTGAACCTGCTTGTGCGTGTGTTCAAGTTTCTGTATCTTCTGCCTGATGGCAGAGGTTGTAGGAGGTCATCACCAGAGTGCGATGGGCCTTTGATGATGTTGGCCCGCCTTTCTGTGGCAGTGAGCCGTGTAAATGGAGTCCACGGATGGAAGGTTGGCTTCCATGATAGTCTGGGCTGTGCACACCACCTTCTGTAGTTTCTTACGGTCCTGGGCAGTGCAGTTGCCATACCAGGCCATTATATACCCAGACAGTATGCTTTCAATGGTGCATCTGTAGAAGTTGGTGAGGGGCCTTATGGACATGCCAAATTTCCTGAGCCGCCCGAGGAAGAAGGGGCATTGTTGCGCCTTCTTGACTGTCGCATTTACATGGGAAGTTAAGGACAGGTTGTCAGTTATCACCACTGTGAGGAACTTGATGCTCTTCACTCTCTCAACCTCAGTTCCGTTGATGTAGATGGGGGCGTGTTCTCTTCCTTTCTTTCGAAAGTTGATGATCAGTTCTTTAGTTTTTCCAACATTGAGAGACAGATTGCTTTCATTGCACCACAGCACTTCTGTATTTTGACTTGTCGTTGTTAGATATCAGTCCCACTACGGTGGTGTTGCCAGGGAACTTGTAGATGGCGTTTGTGCGGAATTTGGCAACACAGTTGTAAGTGTACAGGGAATACAGTAGGGGGCTGAGGATGCATCCTTGGGCGGCTCCAGTGTTGAGTGTTATTGTGGAGGAGATGCAGTTACCTATCCTCACTGACTGTGGCCTATGGATCAGCAAGCTGAGGATCCAGTTGCAGAGGCCGGAGCCAAGACCAGGGCACACAGTTTTCAGATCAGTCTGGAAGGGATAATGGTGTTGAAGGCGGAGCTGTAGTCAATGAGCAGGAGTCTGACATAGATGTTTGTGTTGTCCAGATGTTCCAGGGATGAGTGCAGAGCTAGGGATATGGCATCCTCTGTGGACCTGTTATGTCGGTAGGCAAACTGTAGGGGATCAAGGCAGATTGGGAGACTAGAGTTGATCCATGACCATCCCCTCATGATTATTGAAGTCAGAGCTATTGGGCGATAGTCATTAAGGCATACTGCACGTGTTTCCTTGGGTACGGAGACGATGGTGGTCTTTTTGAAGCCAGTGGGAACTTTGGCTTGTAGGATGGAGATGAAGTAGGAGTTGAAGATGTCAGTGAATACCTCCGCCAGGTGGTCCACACAGGATCTGAGTGCTCAGCCGGGGACATCTTCCAGGCCCATTGCTTTCCTTGGGTTGACTCCCAGGGAAACTGATCTGACTTCTGAGGCGGTGACAGAGGGAACAGGTGTGTCTGGGGCTGTCGGGGCAGGCATTTCCATGTTGGTGGTATTCTGCTCAAACTGAGCATAAAAAGCTTTGACCATTTCAGGGAAGGATGTGTCATTGTCTGCTATCTTACACTGTTTCATTTTGTATCCCTTAATGTCGTTTAGGCCTGGTTGATGACAAGAGAATCTATGGACTATGGGATGATATCATTGGCAAAAAAGTGGCAAATGGAATTCAATCGACAGAAATGTGAAGTGATGTAGTTGGGGAAGTCAAACAAGGTAAAGGAATACACAATTAGTGGGAACACTCTACAACTCACAAGATGCAAACCTTATTCGTCAGGAAATGCTATTGGGAAAATTGATGGGATTAAAACCTAATAAGTCCCCAAGGCCTAATGGTCTGCATCCCAGAGTACTTAAGGAAGTGGCCCTGGAAATAGTGGATGCATTGGTGATTGTTTCCCTGCATTCTATATACTCTGGAAGAGGCCCATGGACTGGAGGGTAGGTAATATAACCCCACTCTTTAAAAAGGGAGGGAGAGAGAAAATGGGGAATTATAGACTGTTTAGTCTGACATCAGTGGTGGGGAAAATGCTGGAGTCAATCATTAAGGATGTAATAACTGAGCATTTGGAAAGTGGTGACAGAATCTGTCCCAGTCAGCATGGATTCACCAAAGAGAAATGATACTTGACAAAACTTCCGCAGTTTTTTAAGCTGGTGCCCAGTAGAGTGGACAAGGGTGAATCAGTAGATGTTGTGCATCTAGACTTCCAAAAGGCTTTAGACAATGTTCCACACAAGAGATTAGTAAGGAAAATTGAAGCTCATGGTATCAGAGGTAATGTATTGACATGGAGAGAGAACTGGTTGGCAGATAAGAAGCAGAAAGTTGCAATGAACAGGTCCTATTCAGAGTGGCAGGCAGTGATGAGTGGGGTGCCACAGGGTTCTGTGCTGGGGCCCCAGATGTTCACAGGATAAAGAATTTGAATGCAATATCTCCAAATTTGCAGATGACACTAAGCTGGGTGGCAGTGATTGCAAAAACAGGAAGGCAGATTATTATCTGAATGGTGGCAGTTTAGGAAAAGGTGAGGTGCAACAAGACCTGGGTATCATGGTGGAACAGTCACTGAAGGTTGGCATGCAGGTGCAGCAGGCAGTGAAGAAAGCTAATGGTATGCTCTCCATCATAGCGAAAGGAATTGAGTATCGGAGTAGGGATGTCCTTGTGTAGTTATACCAGGTTATACAGGGCCTTGGTGAGGCCACACTTTGAGTATTGTGTGCAGTTTTGGTCTCCTAGACTGAGGAAGGACATTCTTGCTATCGAGGGAGTCCAGTGAAAGTTCGCCAGACTGATTCCCGGGATGGCAGGACTGACATATGAGGAAAGACTGGATTGACTGGGCTTGTATGCTTTGGGATTTAGAAGAATGAGGGGGAGATCTCATAGAACCATATAAAATCCTGATGGGACTGAACAGGCTAGATGCAGGAAGAATGTTCCTGACGTTGGGGAAGTCTAGAACTAGGTGTCACAGACTAAGAATAAGGGGTGAGCCATTCAGGACTGAGATGAGGAAGAATTTCTTCACTCAGAGAGTTGTGAATCTGTGTAATTCTCTCCCACAGGAAGTTGTTGGGGCCAGTTCGTTAGAGCTGGATGTGGCCCTTACGGCTAAAGGGATCAAGAGGTATGGGGAGACGCCAGGAATGGGATACTGAGATTGCATGATCAGCCATGATTATATTGAATGGTGGTTCAGGCTCAAAGGGCTCAATGGCCTACTCCTGCACCTATTTTCTATGTTCCTATACTGTCCAATATGAGATGTTATTCTGCAACTGGACAGAATTTGCTTAATAATCTTGTGTGCAAGGAATTATGCTGACAACCAGTTGAGGATTGGTAGTTGAGCTCACAGTATGGTGCACTTCTGCATTTGGAAGCTACATGTACTAATGTGCTTGCAGGTCCTGTTCTTTGCAGACAAAAGGAACATGTATTCAAACTATGTCTGTTTCAATTCAATAAAATAGTGAGCAACCATTCCCAGGTTCATTTCTCAGGATAATACCTTGACCAATCAGCGTCAACCCGCCTGGTTCAAAGCTTAAACACAGTTTGGCAGTGAACTGTCAGTCACCATCTAACTGGTGCATTTTCCATTGCAATGCCTCTACCAGTCAGAGTACACTTGGCAGCTGATCAGCACTTTTCTCGCACGGGAGAAATGTTATTTTCCCTTAACTTTGATATTTCTAACAATTTGTCCTGATAAGTGCAAGATGAAAATTTTTGGCAAAATGTATTTTTTTCAGAATACTCACGTTTATTGTGATGTTAAAGATAAAGTTGCATTTGTTATGTGCATTGGACCATATGGCCACTCTCTCATTAGAGGTGGTGTTTTAACCTGAAAATAACCACATCTCAGATAAGGGAAGAGGTTGAGAAGTAGAGTCCTTCATGAAAACCTCAGCCAGTGCAAGAATTGAACCCATGGTGTTGGCATCATTCTGCATCATAAACCAGCCTTCCAGCCAACTGAGCAAACCAATCACTATTTTAACGTGAATATATCAATTAATTAAAGTGATAAGCTGATTCGGCTTCTGATTACTCTAATGAAGTAAAAGCAATAAAACAAATACTTCATACCAAGTTTCTTTATATCAATGCCAGTACTCTACCTGTGAAGTTACCACTTCATTTTGTTGTTTCTGGATAATATGACTTGACTTTAGTGTGTTCATGCTGCTTTTACGATGGATTATTGTTGATAAATGTGGAAGTTTGAACTCAGAGGTAGGGGTGCCTTCAGATGTTTGCTTAGTTGTTCCATCAACAGTTGTACCTCCAATTCCAATTGATGAATATCGCGTGATTGCACTCTGTGACACTGAAATAATAAATGATCACATTTGAAAGCAGAGAGACATCTCAAAACTTGCATGCTACAGACAAATACTGGCAAATGTCTCCTGTTTGCCTTCCATAAAAAGTGTAGCTGACTTTGTAGTTTTTTGGATGCGAAACTACACACAACCATGAAAGCTGCAGAATCAATCCTCCAAGACCTTCTTTTAAAACTGGAACAGGAATTTACAAGCTGTATTTTGTGATGAAGCCTTGCATCACTTCTACTTTTTACCTAAGATTTTGCACCTAAGTTTCTTGTACCTATGGCGAATGGCGACATGGTAAACTTTTCACTGTAGTCCTGTAGCCCTGTCCTTGAGTATACGTGACAATAAAATCTAATTCAAATATAATTCATTTATTGTCCTCAAACGGTAGTTCCACAGTGGGACACAGTGCAATACAGGAAGTACTGGGGGCTTGTAAGAAAGGTACAGCATCAATCATGGTTGATTTTAACATGCATACAGACTGAATTAACCAAACTGGCAAGGGTAGCTTCGGGAGCGAGTTCATTGAATTTATTACAGATTGTTTCATGGAGTAATACATTGGGGAACCAACCGGGGATCAGGCTATTCTGGATTTATATATTGTTTAATGAGGAAGGTTAATCAGTGATCTCACAGTAAAGGATACACGAATGAAGAGTGATCATAGCATGCTGAGATTTCAAATTCAGTTTGATGGTGAGAATCCAGAGCCCCACACTACTGTTCTGGAGTTAATCCAAGGGAATAACATAGGCATGAGGACAGGTTTGGCCCTAGTGGACTGGGTAGGAAGACTAAAGATAGGACAGTTGATGAGCAATGGTAGATGCTTAAGGAGATATTTAGTTCCCTACAATTAAAATACATTTCACAGAAGAAGAAAGATTGTAAGATAAGAACATCTATGGTTAACAAGGAAGTTAAAGATAACATAAAGCTAAAGCATACCATATTGCAAAGGTGAGTGGCAAGCTGGATGATTGGGAAACTTTTAAAAATCAAAAAAGAATTACTCAAAATATCATAAAAAGAGCAAAGGTAAATTATGAAACAAGCACGAATTATAAAAACAAAAAGCAAAATCTTCTATCAGTATACAAAACAGAACAGGGTCGTTAAAATGAATGTTGATACCTTGAAAAATTGGACTAAGGAGTTAACAGTGGGGAGCACAGAAATGGCAGAGACAATAAACCAATACTTTGTCTCAATTATCACAGTAGAGGACACCAGTACTACCCCAAAAGTAACAGGCATTGTGGGAGGTTATAGAAAGAGAGGAACTTAGAACAGTCATCATCACTAGGTAAAAAGTACACAGTAAACTATTGAGATTGAAGACAGACCAGTCCCCAGGCCTATTCGCCAACATCCTAGGGTCTTCAAGGAAGTAGCAGCAAAAACAGTGGATCCATGGTTATAATATTTGAAAATTTCCAAGATGTGAAAAAGATTTCAGTAGATTGGAAAAGCATTCTTATTCAAAATGGGAGGGAGGCAGTAAGTAGGAAACTATAGACCAGTTAGTTTAGCATCTGTTATTGCAAAATAATCAGAATCCATTATTAAAGAAGAAATAACAGGACAATAACTTGGAAAGTCAAAATGCAGTCCATCAGAATTAGCAAAGTTTTATGAAGAGAAATCATTCTTGACTAATTTTCTAGAGTTCTTTGAAGATGTAACAAGCAAAGTGGATAATGGGGATCCTGCAAATGTGGTGCATCTGGTTTATGGAAGGTATTTGATATGGTGCCACACAAAAGATTAGTACATAAGGTAAAAACAATGTGGTTGGGTTAATTTATTAACTTGAATAGAGGATTGATTAATCAACAGAAAGCAGAGAGTTGAGATAAATGGGTCTTTTTCTCGTTGGCAAGTTGTTACTTGCAGGTGCCACAGGGTTCAGTCTATTAATATAGATTTACAATCTATATTAATGACTTGGAAGTCCCACTGCTCCAGGGGTATGTAATAATGTCTCTGAACAGTTTGATTAGAAAATATAGAAGATACCGTTTACAGAAGACACGAAAATAGTTAGGAAAGTAAGTTGCAATGAAGAAATAAAAAATTTACAGCTGGTGAATGGGTCAAAATATGGCAAATAAAGTTTAACGTGGATAGATGCAAGGTTAGCTATTTTGGTTGGAGAAATAGAAAGGCAACTTATTATCAAAATAGGAAGAAACTTCAGAGTACTTCAGTGTAGAGGATTCTGGGTGTCCTCATGTATGAACATCAGAAAACAGGTAATAAGGAAGGAAAATGGAATTTTGGCATTTATTGCTAAACAAAATTTGTACAAAAGTAGGGAAGTATTGCTGCAACTGTACACGGTATAAATGAGACCGCACCTGGAGTACTGTGTAGAATTTTGGTCCCCTCACTTCAGGAGAGATGTAATTGCACTGGAGACAGTCAGGAGGTGTCCATTAGATTGATTCTAGAGAAGAGGGATTTGTCTTATGAAGAAAGATTGAGCAGTTGAGGCCTTTATTCTCTGGAGTTTAAAAGAATGAGAGGAGATCTAATTGAGGTATATAAGATGCTAAATGGAATTGACAGAGTAGACATAAAAAGGATTAAATTGAATTGAATTGAATTAGGTTTATTATCATGTACTCACATGAGTACAAGGAAAAGTTTACAAGTTGCCACTTAGGTTACCAAGGTATCCAGATCCAGAATCATAGAATCCCTACAGTGTGGAAACAGGCCCTTCAGTCCAACAAGTCCACATCGACACTTGGAGCATCCCACCCAGACCCATCCCACCCTACAACCCACCTAAGCTACACATCCCTGAACACTACAGGCAATGTAGCATGGCCAATCCACCTAACCTGCACATCTTTGGACTGTGGGAGAAAACCAGAGCACCCGGAGGAAACCCACACAGACACGGGGAGAATGTGCAAACTCCACACAGATAGTCGCCCAAGGGTCCCTGGCGCTGTGAGGCTGCACTGCCAACCACTGAGCCACCGTGCCGCCCCTTAGGTACAAGATTCTTAGGTACAAAGCAGAAAAATAAGGAAAACAAACTTAAGAAGTTAAACATTACAGAGCTTCTTACTAAAAAATGGAAAAACAAAGAAACACGGTTCAGTTCATAAGTTTGCTTCCTCATGTGGAACAATCTGAATTGAGAGATCACACTTTTAGGATAAGGGGTCGCACATTTAAAACCAAGGTCAGGCAAAATTACTTCTCTCAGAGGTTCATAAATTGTGGAATTCACTACTCCAGGACATGGTGGATGCTGGGCCATGAAGTAAATTTAAGGAGGAGAAAGATTTTTCATTAAAAGGGTTATGGAAAGTGGGCAGAAAATGGAATTGAGGGAGAGATGAAATCACTACGATTATATCAAATAGCAGATCAGGCTTGAGGGGCTAAGTTGCCTACTCCTGCTCCCAGTTTTTATGTTCTCATGTGTAAGCACCAATACATCCAGGGCCACTTCCCTAAGTACTCTGAGAAGTAGATTAGTGTGAATCTGATGACACACTCACCTGGAAGTGTAAGAATTCTATTAACCCTTTGTAGTTCAACATTCAGGGCCAATTAATTTATTGGCCTCTAATCTCATCAATTGTCTTGATACCATTTCTCAACTAGTACTAATTTCCTTTGGTTCCTCTCTGTCATTAGATCTTGTGTTCCACAACATTTTGGATGTTATTTGTGTCCTTTGTAAACACAGAATCAAAATTGTATTTAATTGGATTGCCATCTCTTTGGGCTCCATCGTAACTTCCCCAATTTCTAACTGTTCGGGACCTACGTTTGTCTTTGACTAAAGGACCATAATAAGTAGGCAAAGTAGATTATTAAACTCCTTGAGTTCCACTATTCAAGAGGATCTTGGCTGGTCCAACATTCCTCATGTCTAGTTTCTGGCATTTTCCCCATACCTCTGAATCCCCAACTGATCATGAATCTAGATCTTTCAAACTTAAATATACACAAGGATTTTGCTCCCACAGTTCTCTGTGGCAGAGTTCCAAACACTCACAACTCTCTGACAGAAGAAATTCCTCCTCATCTCAGTCTTCAATTGGTGCCCCCTTACTCTGAGACTATGCCTTCTGGTCCTAGACATGAGGGGAAATGTCCTCTCAGCATTTACCATATCAAGCCTCTTAAGAATCATATACATTTCAATGAGATCACCTCTCATTTTTCTAAATTCCAGTCAGTAGGGTCCCTAATTACTATTTCTTTTGCTAAAACCTGGGTTTCAAAATTAACTATGTCTCTCTTCATTTTACTGAAGATTTCTATCATATTAGAATTCTTTCATGAGAAAGAAAAGTCACACTAACTGACAGTTAAGATTTATTGAATCAAATGACAAAGAACCTACTCACTATTTGGGCAGTACGATGGCTCAATGGTTAGCGCTGTTGCCTCACAGCGCCAAGGACACAGGTTCAATTCCAGCCTTGAGGTTCAGTGTGTGTGGAGTTTGCACATTCTCCCCATGTCTGTATGAGTTTCCTCTGGTCTTCCCGTATCCTCCCACAATCCAAAGATGTGCAGGCTAGGTAGATTAGCCATGAGAAAAGCAGGAATAGGGGCATGAGTCTGAGTGGGATGCAATTTGGAGGGTCAGTGTGGACTCGATGGGCCAAATGGCCTGCTTTTACACCGTACGGGATTCTATGATTTGTGTGGGTCTAAATAGTGGAAGTGTGAGAAAATGGAGATCATCTGACGAGTGATCCAGAATTGGCAACCATGGACCCAGGACATTGACCATGTTTAACTAAAATTATGATATTGTCAAAATGGTGTTACCTTCTTCAGCATCCCTCATCATCTGATCCAGAGCAGCCTTTGTGCACAATTCCCGAGCTCGTGTAGCTGCAGCTGTGGTACCACTTGAAATTGCTTCCCGTAATACAGAATCGATAACCAAATAGGATGCTCTATAATATTTTGCAAGAAAGACAGCAGTGTTTGTTTTTCCTGTAACAAAACATAAAACATGTGACACGATTTTAGAGAGAAGCATGAGTCTTTATCGAATCAATATCTTCAAATTATCTGTACAGTATTTAGTTCCTCAATGGCTCAATAGGCAGAGGCACCGAACCAGATGTGCCGACAACTGACCAACAACCTCCTTTTAGTGTTTAGTCAGCTGAAGGTGCAATCATTATGGTTTTAGCATATTTAGTTTAGGGAGGAGAAAGTTTAGTCAAACGTCCTGCTTCTGATCACCATCCAATGTACCTGCTGTAAACGTGGGTATGGTAAATATTGGGTAAACTGAGGATTAGACACAGTTGTAAACTCTTACACTCGAGCAGCATGCAATTTTTAAATATTCTTTCATAGGATGTGGGTATTGCTGGCCAGTGTCATCCATCATTACCCCAGAGAAGATGGTGCTGAGTAACCTTCTTGAACAGCTACACAATGCTGTTAGGAAGGGATATCATGTGCGTGGGAAACTTTGTCTCACAAACTTGACTGAGATTTTTGAAGAGGTGACCAAGACGATTGAGCTGAAGACATTGTCTTGATGGCCTTTAGCAAAGCCTCGACAAGGTTCTGCATGGTAGACTGGTTAGTAAGGTTAGATCACATGAGATTCAAAGAAAGCTAGCCAATTGGATACAAGATTGGCTTGATGGCAGGAGACAGAGGGTGGTGGTAAGGGGTTGTTGTTCAGACTGGAGGCCTGTGACCAGTGGTGAGCCACAGGGATCGGTGCTAGGTCCAGTGTTATTCAACATTTATATAAACAATTTGGATGAGAATAGAGGAGGCATGGTTAGTAAGTTTGCAGATGACTGCAAAATTGGTAGGATAGTGGACAGTGAAGAAGGTTATCTAAGAGTACAGTGGGCTGAGGAACGGCAAATGACGTTTAATTTAGATAATTGCGATGAGTTGCATTGCAGTAAGACAAACCAGGGCAGGACTTCCACAATTAATGGAAGGGCCTTGGGTAGTGTTGTTGAACAGAGAGACCGAGGGCTGCAGGTGCATACTTCCTTGAAAGTGGCATCACAGGTAGACAGATTGGTGAAGAAGGCGTTTGGCATGCTTGCCTTCATTGGTCACAGCATTGAGTACAAGAATTGGGACGTCATGTTACAGGTGTACAAGAAATTGGTAAGGCCACACAATCTGGTCGCCCTGCTGTAGGAAGGATGTTCTTAAACTGGAACGAGTGCAAAAAAGATTTACAAGGATGGTACCGAGACTGAAGGGTTTGAGTTGTAAAGAGAGGCTGGAGAGACTGGATAGGCTGGGACTTGTTTCCTGGAGTGTAACAGGTGATCTTATAGAGGTTTGTAAAATCATGAGGCTCATGGATAAGGTAAATAGCAAAGGCCTTTTACCCAGAATAGGGGAGTCCAAAACTAGAGGGCATAGGTGTAAGGTGAGAGCTGAAAGATTTAAAAGGGACGTGAGGAGCAACTTCTTCACACATGGGGTGGTGCATATATGGAACTATCTGCCAGAGGAAATAGGGGAGGTGAACACAATTAAAACATTTATGAGACATTTGGATAGATACATGGATAGGAAAGTTTAAAGGGATATGGGCAAAATGCAGGCAAATGTAACTCGTTCAGTTTAGGAAATCTGGTGTTGAATACTGAGTACCTGAAGAATATGCAAATTGTAACAATACTTGTTTTAAGTGTTTAACATTCTTTTCCCATTTTTCAAAGGGGTGCAGATTAAATGCCAGAGGATTATAATGTGAACAAATGTACAAAAATGTACTTCTGGAGCTGGAAACATGAAATAGATGGGGGAGAAAAGGGAACCTGTATTACGTTCATAAACAGAACAAAAAGGATTTGGACAGAATTTGATAATTTATAGATTATTTCCAGTTTGAGCTGTTAACTTGATAATGTGCCATGGACTATGGGCTCATGATGGAATTTACTTGTACCTGAGGCAGGAGCTCCATGTACTATGATGGCAATGCCTCTGCGATTTCGAGCAGCACATCCCTCAGGGGATAGGTCAAGTCCGAGGTACCTGCCAATTGCCATGGATACAGGGGTAACTTCCAGTTCTCCAACGCTCATATTGATAAAAATATCTGGTTTTTCTCCTGTACCGAACATACAAACATTACAAGTAAATCTCCATTTTTGTTTACAAAATAACTTCCTTATCTTCATTAATCTTACACATGTAACTTTAATCAGGAGCCCAGGCATAGGCCTTTTCAAAACAATACAGTCATAGAGGTCTACAGCACAGGAAAAGGTTCTTTGGCTAATTGAGTCTGAGTCGGTCAAAAACAACCACCCAATTATCCTAATCACAATCTTACCATTTTCCAGAACACTTCCTTTTTTCATTACCTCCACAATCAAAATTGTTATCCCTTTTCCCATTCTTCCCCTACTTCTCTTCATCCAATTAGAACACATCCCAACGAGAACAACAAGAATTCAATTTGCAATCATTATAATGAGATAAAGAACAATTATTTCCTTGTCACTTTGTCCCAGTTAAACCAGCAATCACCTTGGACACTGTCTCCTTAAGAAAATAGTCCCACTCGACCATTAAGTAATTGCTCACACATGTACACCGCAGTCAGAGATTCTTCCTTTCATCATTTCGTTGTTTAGAGCAGGCCCTCAGTAAAAGCAGAAACTATAAACTTTTTTTAAAAACGTTCATAGTAAATCAACAATATAATTAACTGTATTAGTCATACCAGGTCAGAAATGGATGTGCTGAAGTATGTCTTATATACGTTAGTATCATTGTTAAAGTTTGGATTTCAAAATAATGGCAAATGTGGATGGTTAGTTTTATGAACGGCATTCTTAAAAAAAAAGGAACAAGGTCAAACAGTCCTTCTAGAACAGTAGAGACAACAAGGTGCAGGGCTGGATGAATACAGCAGGCCAAGCAGCATCATAGGAGCAGAGAGGCTGACGTTTCGGGCCTAGACCCTTCATCAGAAAAGGGGGAGGGGAAGGGGGTTCTGAAATAAATAGGGAGAGAGTGGGAGGCGGATAGAAGATGGATAGAGGAGAGGATAGGTGGAGAGGAAACAAACAGGTC